CGGGAGCAGACAGCCTCATCTTTCTCCTGGGAAACGGCTGGCGGCTCTGAGCCGATGACCTGGCAGGGAGCAGTCTAACATGCCACCCACTCTTCCACCAGGACTTCCTCGCACCAGGGCCCCGACCCAAAACCCAAGCCAAGCTCACAGCCACCCAGTTGATTCCGACTCATAGCAATCCTGTAGGACAGGGCAGAACTGCCCTTGTGGGTTTCTGAGACGGCCACTCTTTGTGGGAGTAGAAAGCCTCATCTTTATCTCTTGAATCGGCTGGTGGCTTTGAACTGCTGACCTTGCAGTTAGCAGCCCAACATGCAACCACTGCACTGCCAGGGCAGCATGTAAACAGTCGTCAGGTACTGGGGTTGTTGGGTCTACTTTGGCTTACCTCTCGAGCGCAAGCTCGTGACCTTCTATGACTGAGTGCTGCCTCCTGGGCTTTCCTTGGCTGTGAACTTTCCCGAGACTGACCACCAGGTCTTTTCTCCCATGAGGTGGGCTCCAACAGGGAGGAGCTGGGATTCGAACCCAGCACAGTGCCAAGGTGCCCAGTGGTGGGTCCCGGAGGTGGCTTGGGAGGCAGCACTATTTGCTGTGGCTGTTTTCCAGGCTGGCACCTGGCCAATGGTCCCAAGTGTTTGCCATTCACCTGAAGGGCAGGTCCTTGGGTGAGGCCAGCCAGGTGGACTCTCGGCAAGGTGGTATACTTGTGAGCCAGTGGGGGCAGGGTGGGGGCACGGCTGAGGTCTGTCCAGGGCTAGGAGAGCCAGGTCCTGCTGGCTCGGGGTGAGCTGGGGAGGCAGGGCAGTGGAGTGTTCAGGGCAGGCTAGTGTCTCGGGTAGGATCCCCTGGTTCAGGACTGGAGGCAGATGGAGCAGGCTGACCCCTGTGCCTGTAATCCCAGTGGGAGCAACTGGCACTACATCTTTGGTGCTGCTGGGTGGTGGTGTTAGCTGCCGTGAAGTCTGTTTCAGCTCCGGGCACCCCAGGTGTGCAGAGAGGAACTGTAAGCGGCCCTGCTCACCTCAGGGTGGGCGGTTCAAACCCCAAACCAACTCCTAGGGAGAAAGAAGAGGCTGTCTGCTTCCCCAAAGACTGACAGCTACAGAAACCCGCTACAAGTCAGGCTGGACTGGGCAACAGTGGGTTTGATTTGGGGCTGGTGGTCCTGATGAAATGGATAACCAGTCCTTTCTTCCGAAGTCCTTCTGCTCCGGTGTGAACTACTGGCCTTTCGCCTACTGGTTTGAGAGATTAACTCTTGGTGACACCCCTCCCCCCAAAAAAAGCAGGGCCATTGAGCCCCACTTTGGCTCCCAGCAACCCTCTAGGACTGAGCAGCACTGCTTCTGAGGGTTACCAAGGTTGAACATCTTTAGGAGAGAAGACTGCCTCATCTCTCGAGGAGCGGCTGGTTTGATCTGCTGACCTTGGCAGATAACCACTGAGTTCCCAAGATTCCTTTTGTGACACCCAGGGGCTCCAAATTTACAAAAAGCCCCCTGATGCCAGGCTGGGGTTCTGGTGACAGCTTGGACAGGGATGGTGACGAGGCCTGTGGTGGCATGGTGGGGTCAGTTCTGTTGGCAGGAGTGGTTGGCCTTGGATGACCTCCGGGTGTGCCTTCGTGCTAGTGAGAACGACGTTGACAGCCATCCCCACCAAGTCCTTGTTTTAGTGAACCATGGGAGGAGCGTAGAGGTGACACACTGGGCTGCTAACCCTAAGCGCAGCTGTTCAAACCCACCAGCCGCTCTACAGAAGACGAGGCTTTCCGCTCCATAAAGAGCGACCATCTTGGAAACTCAGAAGGACAGGTCTACCCTGTCCTGTGGGGTCGCTGAGTCAGCATCGACTCAATGGCAGGGAGCGAGCCCACCTAGAGGACTGTGAAAGCTGCACCCCAGAGACACCTCACAAGGTACACACTCAGGAAAACGGGGCTTCCCAGCAGCCAAATCTGAGGGTGGGGAGAGGAGTGGAATGGAGGAGGCCGTCGATGAAGACCTAAGAAACCCGCCACCACCCCTGCCCCACCGTGTGAGCTGTATTTGGAGCCCAATCAAACATCAGCTTAAACCCAGACGGGACCATTGGAGGGTCAAACAGGACATGCCTTTTTTTTTTTTGGCTGTAAAAAATAGCTACCCCAAAGCCTGCCATTACAACTGTTTTGAAGTGTATACTTTATTGCACTCATTAATATGCATTCATCACACTCATGAATATGCATTCATTACAGTTATTAATATGCCTTCATTGTGCTCATTAATATGCATTCAGTACACTCATTAATGTACACTCACTGCATTCACTGTGTTGGACAACTATCGCCATCATCCATTCCCAGACAATTCTCATCAGAAACTCAGCAAACTTCAGAAATTCCCCACCCCCAGCCCCCGATGTGTTGTTTGGAGAGACCAGTCCCCCGAGAAGGACATTGTGCCTGGTCACCTGGAGGGACCTTCGAAGAGCCGGACACCGTCTGCAACGATGAGCTCAGACAAGAACCGCGGTCTGGATGTCGCAGGGCTGGACGGTGTTTCCTTCTGTTGGGCGGAGGGCCGCTGAGTTGGAACCGGTCCGATGGCCCCTGACAACAGCCACCCCACCCCCACCCCACCCAGCCCCGCACTTGGTCTCTGCATTCTCCCATCCTGAAGGTGCCATGCGGGTGGGACTCTCGTGTCCGTGGCCTTGGGTCTGGTTTATTTCACACAGCATTCTGTTGTCAAGGGCCGTCCTTGCAGGACTTCATTTCTCTTTCAACCTGGGTAATACACTCCGTCCTATGCTTTTCAATACATGCCCCCCCTCCCCCAGCACTAAAAGGGGCCCCTGGATGATTCCTACCTTTTGCTCTTTTGAAGAAAGCCCTAGTGACCATTGGTATCTGTTGAAGATTTTGAGATCCTGTTTTCGGGGTTTGGGGTGGATGCTAGGAGTGAAATAGAAACTATTCATATGCCCTGCCAGGACTTGTGTGTCTGACTGTGGGGGGTGGGGAAGGCGTGGGTTTGTACCTGGGGGCTTCCAAAGTTCCTGCGGAAATTCCATGATCTCTTCATTCCATTTTCCCGTGAGCTTTTGGAAGCCCCCGGGATCACGGAGTCACTCGGGCTGCTGTGTGACGCATGGACTTGGTGGAAAAGGATTGATAAGACCAAGGGCAGAAGGGTGGGGGGAGTGCAGGTCGGTCCTCAAGGCCCAGGAGGAGACCCCAGTCCCCTCCCCACCAATCTGTGGGCAAGAGCCCGGCACTTTCTTTGGTCTGACTGTGGCGGATCATGAGGGAAAGAGTGCTCTCATCTGGAGATGCAACTTCCGGGACTCGGGGTGACTCTTGTTGAGTCAGGGAGCTGGCAGCAAACCTAGGGGCCAGGTGAATGCTCCTGATCATTGTCACAGAACTTCCTGGGTGTTGGGTATGAGTGCTTTTCTAAGCAAACAAAGGGTTTGGCCCATTGTGTTGGTTTCAAGGAAGGAGGAGAGGGGCCAGGGAGTGAAAGAAGAATTTGCCATCGGTGCCCCACTGGAGGGAGGGGTGACTCTCCCCTTCCTCATTCCTAGTAACCTGATTTTTTAAAAAAGGGGTCATCGTGTCCTGGAGATGGGAATTCTAGGAATAGGATTGCAAAAACTCCGGAGCACTTCCTGATGCCGAGTCTCTTCTGAGTGACCTGTTCTCTCAACCCTTCCGGGTGTTTTCCATGGCTTCTCCCTGAGTCTCTGTCTGCCAACAGTGAACCAAGGCTCACTGGTGCTCCCCGAACCTGGCTGTGTGCCCCTTTTCTTTGAGCTGTTTAAAAGGGCTCAGAGCCAGGCTGTGGTACCACTGGTCACCAGCAGGAGGAGCTCTCTAATGAACGCTCTATGTTGGTGGGGGCGCAGTTCTGACTCATAGCAAGTGACCCTGTGTAGAACAGAAGTTAACACTGCCCAGGCCTGTGCCACCCTCACCGCTTGCTGTTTGGCTCAACCCATCGTTGCACACTTACTACCAATCTTGGTTGTTCGAGGTTCCTGGTTTTGAATATGTAAATCGTCATCCGCCTGTATCGCCTTTGCAAGATCCAATTCTGTTCAATACATTTTCTTAAAACCAGATATGCCAGTCATACCCATCACTAGGGACAGCTCAGATGCCCACCAACAGTAGAGGGGATAAATGTGTTGTGATTCATCATCTCACGGGGCCTCTCTACAGCCTCAGAAATGTGTAAACCATGGCTAAATGCAGTGCCATCTGTGAAGGGCACCAACAACGTTAAGAAAGAATCCAGACACCAGTGTTATCACTTACTTATGATACAATGAGAGCCCTGGTGGAACAGTGGGTGCACATTGGGCTACTAACTGCAAGGTCAGGGTTTGAATCCACCCACCTCTCTGTTGGAGAAAGACGAGGTTTTCTGCTCCTGTAAAGATTCAGGGCCTTGGAAGCCCACAGGGGCAGTTCTACTGTGTCCCAAAGGGTCACTAGGGGTCAGAATCGACTCGATGGCAAGGAGGTAGGTGGCGCAGAGGTGAGATGCTCGGCTGCTGACGGAGAGGGTCAGTAGTTTGAGCACCACCCCCCTCCACCCAGGCTGCTTCATGAGACCAAGACTTAACAATCAGCTCCCATCGGGATTTCAGCCTGGAAAACGCTACAGGGCGTCTCTACACCATCACACAGGGGGGCCAGGAATCAACTCCTGGGCACCCACCCCCACCACACACACACACACACAACACCCGGGCCCACACAGGACGCACCCAGGAGGTTAAGGACATGGGACTGGTGACCTTTCTTGGGGTGGGTAGGGTTGGCAGGGCATGAGGAAGCTTCTGGGAGCTGGCATATTTGTCTCTTGATCTCAGAGCTCATACACGGATTCGTTTGTCAACATGAACATTGCGTGTTTTTTTATATACATGTTAAGAGTTTGAAGAGCCTCCTTGGTACAACACTTGAGTCTGATTCACTCCAATCCTGCCTTGGTCTTCGCCCACAGACTGACGAGCAATGTGAGCTGAAGGCCCTGGAGAAAGAGAAGACGGTGGTCCCTCTGCCCCCCAAGGAAGCATGCAAGTACCACAAAGAAGACTTGGCCAAGGCGTTCTGCGTAAGAATTGCGTTGGCCTCTGTCGCCAAGCCTGGCAGAGGTGTTCAGGTTAAAAAAAGAAGCATGCAGAAAAAGCCAGACATGGCCTTGAAAGTCAAGTCACGTGTTGCGTGTTCATGAGCAGTGTTAGATGTCACCCAGGTCCCATGTAGAGAAGGGTGGTGAGTGGTGATTCTTCCCGCCCCCC